ACGAAAGGCGCACTATTACTCCTAGAAAAATAAGTATTTTTCTAAAACAAGGTCATTAAAAATACGTAAATATGCCTGGAGGAAAGCATATGAACAAGGAACACATTTTTCAAGGACAAGTCAGATAGAATTAATAAATTCTGGGACAGGAATACACACAAACATAACCAAGAACACATAGGGAAACTTGGCAGCTAGAAAAAAAACCTCAGATGAGTTAATCCACTGCCCCAAAATATACTATTTTTATTGTCTAGAATCAGTTCTTACTCATCATGAAGGTATACATAGTCATTATGGGCAGAGGACAACACAACCCAAAAAACCTGGAGTATTCTTAAATGGAGGATTCCCAAAATGGTCAAAAGACACAATATGTAGAGGCTTAGTAAACTAAGCATTATTTTCAGCTGTGAAAACATACTAGGATAATTTGGGGACTCTTACTGGAGGTCAGAGAAACTACAAAAGTTCTGAAATTCTATTCCTTTTCTTTTGGAAAACCCCATTTACAGATCATTTAATGATTTCTTCCATTGATTCCCTCATCCATTTGACAAATTCTGATTGAGTACAAATTTGGTGAAACACCAATGAGAGAGCATACACTCTTAAAGGAAAAGGGGTGATGGTTGTAGTTTTGAAAAGTATATTCAATTTACCTATTGTCTTTGTAATAGAAAATACAAAGAATAAAACATCTCAAAAATTTTCTTGGCTGGTCAAATATATAGAAGATACAGGCAAAAAACATTGTAGGGCTCATTGGTTGAAAAAGGTAGAGAGACACTGGCCTAAGGGCTTAAGTATTTCTCCTTAGAAAAGATTCAAGAAGATGTAATTTGAAGATTTCTTTCTCCTCCATTAAGTTCTATTTCTAATTTCAGGCTATGGAGCAGGCAAAACAAGGAAGAAGTGTATATTTAACTATGGAGGCATACACACACATATTTTTTTAATTCCAGAGATTATTGGTCCTTTACGATTTTTACAAGTTATCATTCCCTTCTCTTAATCATTAATCATCTTCATTTCTTTTACTGCTGCCTGTATCTTCAGGGTCAAGAAATTCAAATACCTACCTGAGGAAGAAAATTCTAGATTTTCCTTACCAAAAAAAAAAAAAAAAAAAAAAAAGGCAGCTAATTTTCCTGAAAGGGGAAGAGGAGGGCTTGGTGTTCCTGTTTTAAGCTTCTTTAATTGATGGCTACAGCTGGTATTGTGTGAGATAGACAACTACATACAGTCTGTTCCAGGCTCAAAAATATATATCCATAAACACAGATTCTTGTGAAGATCTAAAACAAGAATGAAGGAGGAGACCGTAGGGAGAGGACGAATATTTAGGCTTTATTGCAGACCAACTGCCTGTTTGCTTTTTTGGCATTCATTTCTTTCTTTTTGGTCCCAAGAAAGCCTATTAAAATGACTAAGCTAACAACCAGCGTCACACACAGCATGTCAGGGTACAGTGTTCCCTGTAGGTGTAAGGACTCTGGCTTTGTTTTGCCCTTGTTCTTAAACAAAAGCTACTTTGTTAGCCTCCCAAATGTTCCTAGTCATTATGCAGAAATACATTAATTTTAAAACAAAATAAATTATGTACTTTTTGAAAAATAAAATTAAAATAAAAACCATACACATAAATACACATACAATGAACCTGGCATTACCTTGTTTCTTTTATACACCTCAGAGTTATAGTCAACACCTGTGGCCACACAAGGGGCAGACTTGGCAGCTGCAGAGTCCAGATGTCAGACACTGGATTGTAGGTCCCTGGCAGCAGTCCTAAGTTGCAGGCCTTCTCCTTAACTGACCTCTGAAATGGCCTATTGTCTGACTCCCTTTCTGGTCTGGGAAGTAACTAAGAAGCTGTCTGTGGGGGCTGGCTCTGGGTTAGCCTACTGATGGGTTGTTCTGGATGCAATTATCCTTTGCCTTACCTTTGATTGTAAGGAATTTATTTCCTTTGTAGGGGTGAAAACTGGGACAAAAAACTATATTCAGGTTTCTTTCAAGGACAAAATAAGATGTTTTTTCCTTTGATTTTTTTCCCCCCAAGTGAAATCGGATGAGATCAACCTTATATTTTAGCATAGTCATTTTGGCTAATCAGGAGTAAAATGAAGAGTTCCTTGGGCTCCCCTCCCCTCAAAAAAAAAGACTATAAATTTCCTTATACTGCTTCTTAAAACTAATTCTTAATGTTTGAAAATCGAACATTTCTTTCTTTAGAAACTTAAGGAGCTACAAGTTTGTTTTGCCATTATTAAAAAATGTCTCATCTATTGCAGAGAAGAGCTCTTTGTATCATGAGTTGTTTTGGTTCATTAAGGAGGAAAAGGACACTCTAACCTCATTGCCACATCACTTGATGAAGAATGAAATTATGTGTAAGATGCAAACATTTGGGGAATTAGGTATGAAAAGCCCAACTATCTAAGAGGCTCTATGTACAATCCACACTTGCAGCCCTACAGTGAAGATCCATTGTGCATACAGTTACAGTCACTGCAAGTTAAAGAGAAACACGTCTGAAGTAACTGTAGAATATATTAATGTCACATCCGGTGTCAAAGTGTTCACTTGCAACATGTAAAATATTACAAATTTTCTTTATTTTTATAAAAATGTCTATTGGCCACCACAGATTTAGACACCAGAAAAAGAGATGATTAAATATCCATGAGTCCATACTGATATAAATAAAATACTGAATAAATAAATTGGGGAGAAGAGACAAATCTCTTGTACAGAACAATTCCAAATAATCCATGTGGCCACTCTTTCAAGGAGGTGGAGTTTAATTCCTAACCCCTTGAATGTGGGCTATGATGAGTGACTTGATTCCAAAGAGTAGACTATGGAAAGGGGTACAAGGGTAGCTTTACAGTGGTGAAACCTGGCAAAACCTACCATGGCCAGTTGATCAAAGTTAACATCATCAGTGATATCATGTTGAGGGCATGTACCTTTGGTGTGATTTAATCAGAAGGGCGCTTTACTTTGTGGTTTTCTTCCAATAACCCAGAACCCCAGCCTAACCATGTGAAAACATTAGATTAAACCCCAGCTGAGGGACATGCTACAAAATATCTGACCAAAACAAACAAAAAAACCAAACTCACTCTTGTCTAGTCGATTCTGACTCCTAGCAACCCTACAGGACAGAGCAGAACTGCCCCAGAGTTTCCAAGGCTGTAATCTTTACGGAAGCAGACTGCCACCACTATGCCACAAAACTGTCAAGGTCATCAAAAATAAGAAGTCTGAGAAACTGTCAGAGCCAAGGGAAGCCCAAGGAGACATGACAATTAAATAATAATAATAATGTAGTACGCTGGATGGGATCCTGGAACAGAAAAAAGGACATTAGGGAAAAACTAGTGAAATCCATATAAAGTGTGGAGTTTAATTAATAGTAATGTACCAATGCTGATTCCTTAGTTATGACAAATTACCACAGTAATACAAGAAACCAAGAAGCCCTCGTTGCACAGTGATTAAAGTGCTTGGCTGTTAACCAAAAGGTTGGTGGAGAAAGATGTGACAATCTGCTTCCACAAGGATTATAGCTTTGGAAACCTCATGAGGCAGTTCTAATCTGTCCTATAGAGTCGCTATGAGTCAAAATCGACTTGATTGCAACAGAATATAAGAAACTGGGTAAGGGGTATATGTGAATTCTCTGCATTATCTTTCAACTTTTTGGTAAATCTACAACTTTTGTAAAATTGAAAGTTTATCTAACTTAAAAAATGGTTAACATATTGCTATACTGAATGTAACAGAGTTCCTATGCATCAATCGATGTATCTCTTTCTTCTTCTCTCTCTCACATCCAACTATATACCAAATTTTATGGCATAAAGAGTAGTTCTTCTGACATGTAAGAATACTTCATCTTTCAAGCCAATAAAGTATGAATGGAGACAGTGCTACTCTGAGAGTTCTAGATTTCCCAGTAATATTTAGGTCATACCCCCCGTCATATGGCATGGATGCTCACGAGATAATGTCCATAAACCCTAATATTTCTCAAAAGCTTTAAAAGATATAACACCTTTAAACCACCTGTCCAATACACTTATATTTCATGTGAATGTAATTAATGACCCGATTTATATGACAATGTATTAATCTCTGAAAGTAACATATTCTTTGCTAGATTACTGAGGGCAATGTTCCTTTATTAATCGTTATCATGGGAGGTAAGATCTGACATACCACTGTGTTAGAACATGGATGAGATTGTTTCCTTGCTACTCCACATCAGTACTTTAGAAATACAGTGAAACCTGTGAGAGCCGGAACTCGGCAAGGCTGTCTTGTTTTTCTGAGTCTCTTGCAAGTTTTCTGCCTTTTAAAGGGTGCAGTCTTGCCACTTTTCTATCGCTATTAGTGGAAAATATTTGAATTTTCCTTCTCTGACAAGTTTCCACCTTGCACAGGTTCTGGCTTTCCTGTTTTACTGTATAAGAAATGAGGTCTCTGGGAATTTTAGAAGAGATTTCATTCATATCATTTTCAATTTATCATTTTACTTTGAAAAGGGAAAGTGTAGATGTTAATAAATGCTTATTTAAACTATCGTTGTGAGTTTCTAGAACTGTTAATAACTGCTATTGTTAACATTTTAATGGTACAACTTTAAAAATCCAGTTAATCAAAATTTACTTAATACAATTGATCAGAATTGCCTCTGTAATTCTATTTTTAGCAAAGGATGAAAATGCTTAAAGTTGAAAATAAAAAATACATGCAACCTCCTGGATATATTTTAGGGTTAAAAGGAGATTCAGTAAAATCACTTGCATATTCTGTATCTACATTACTTTATAACGGTAATTCATATTAAGGAAAAGGACCATGATCCTCGGTAATAAGAGAAAAAGTGATCCCTATGGGATGCTTAACTAAGGCAGAAGAGTCAGCTAACATATTTTAGGAATGTTTTCCATAGTGAGCTACAATGATATGGAAAATATACTCGGGGGATCTACAATAAATGCAGGTAGCTATTTTTATAATACCTTTTAAGCAGTTCAGCTAATACATATTTTGCGTTTCATTAGACTATTGTGCATGTGTAGTTAGTAACGAGAATTATAACAGCTCCCTTTCCCGAACACCTATGGTGTGTCAGGCTCTATGCAGCCAGGCATTTCACATATACCTCCTATAACCTGAGCACAGCTCTGCAAAGTGCATACAATTACTATTTAACAAGCCAGGAAACTGAGAACATGGGAAGTTAGGGGGCTGATGCAAAGACCTGCAGCTGGTGAGTGGGGGAGCCATTACAAACTCTGTCTGGCTGCCTCCAATGCCTTAACTCTTTCTCACCATATCATGTAGTTTTGTTACAATTCATATTAGTATCATTAATACTACTGAAATAGAAGTTTATTTATCACTAAATAGATGACTTAAGTCATTTAACCTTTCTAGGCCTCAACTTTCTCTTAGGTAAAATGAAGGAGTTGGCTGGTTGATGTCTAATGTCTCTTTAAGTTTTAAAATAGGAAGACTGATTAATACATAGGAAAAGAAAATTTAAATGGCCATTTTCATAATATTTTTGTTGCAATTAGGTTTGATAACATTGGCCCTTACTAAGTTTTGTGATGATGGGGCTCAATCTAATATGTTCAGTTGATTTCCCTCAAATCTCTCCAGTCCCACTAATGATCAGGACTAATGATCCTACCATTTTCAATTGTTACTCTTTAAAAATGTAAAGAAATTTTATATTTTTTTCCCCTGTGCTGTAAAAAGTATATATTTAACTCTGTTGCCCAAAGAATCAATAACTTGCATTGAGATATGAATAATGCAAAAAAACTCACAATTTTAATCTAAAAATAATCAAAATATTTGTTTATTTTAATTTGTATTTATTTAAATACAACAATTTTTTTATACAAATGGAAGTACTTATAAGCATATTTATAACATGGTATACATAAATATAAATGAAATGTATATTTTAGACAAAATTTAACACATATATTAGACAAGTTGACAAATGCTTACATTTAACTTTAAGGGCACATGAACATACACATTTGAAAAGGATGTGCTTTTGCAAAAACTTCTTTAAAATGTTCACATTTGCATCAATAGTAAGTCATACTTTCTAGACTGATGTTTTATGAAAACTGTAAGAAGCTAGTCATTAAGCTCATCTGGTAATATTATTTATAAATGAAGCATATTTTTGTCAATAGAAATGTTCCTTTTATTTTTAAATAATATAGCATTTTTGTTAAGCATTGTTACCAAGATCACACCACATTTATTCTTAAACAAACATGCATAACGTATTAAAACCTGAATTCACATGCCTTTATGTACAGTGTTTAGTTTTGCTATGGCACTCTATTTTTGAGAAAAACATACTTTAAATTTGGCACAGGATTAATAAATCATATTCTTGTTAATCAAGCCAAATGCAATTTAAATTTTCCATGGCATAGAAAATTCTCTATCATAATTTACCTCTTCCCTTTGTAGTTTATTGACCAATGGCAGTTCTCTTCTGTTCTAGTTGGAATAAATAATGGATATCCAAGCACTAAAAAGTCACATCTAGGTGTTTTGCCTACACTCTAATTGGAAATGAGTCAACTGTTGTTCTTCTAACAGTAAAACATTTCCATCTGTATTGTGGCCAACAAATTTCTAAATAAGGGTGTTATCAGCAATAATATGTATCATCATGAGATGTTTTCTTCAGGGGGCAGAGAGGTTGAAGAGGAAATGTGGATCTCGTCATAAACTGGGAACATGTGTGGCATGGAGAGCAAATGCCAACTGAGACAGAGGCAGGGAAAGTTCTTTGGAAAGCTGGTGAGAAGCACACTCTGAAGTAGCAAAAAAGCAGAGAACAAAGGCATGAACAGAGGACTCGTTCAAGGTGAAAAGGATGGCCACGGGCTTAAGAAAACTGAAATTTCTCACTCAAATGAAACAGCATCCAGAGTAGTTACAGCATTCTTATATTAGCAAACTACCACTGCTTTTTAGGAAAAGTGCTAAATTTCCACATGAATCTGTCTAAATCAGGACTGAAGGAATTAAGCTAACCAGCAGCTTTCTTTCTAAATTCATTCATAAACACAGTGGAAGAAGGAAGAGAGTAACATTAATTCAAGCCTCCTCCAAACCAGAAAGAGAATTCACACTCCCTCTAAGTGTGGACTTCAGAGTTGTGGTAACTAAGAAAAACACCACAGTTCTTTTTCACAGTTCTTTTTCACAGTTCTTCCAAGATAAATTTGAGGTGTTATATTTTGAAAGACTGGTCAAGGAATCTACTCCTTTCATAAAAGCCTGAGAGCCTAGTTTTTATATTTATTACTTGTGGGAAAAGAAGTATAATTTAATTTTTACACAAATGCACTTTATTCTAAAAAAAACACAACGATGAACATAATGTTATCTTCTTTGCTTTGTGATCCTTGCGTTTCTGAGGGGCTTTTAAACAGTGAAATGGGAAAGAACATCAACAGGTTAAATACAATAGGCAAGCACTTTTTTAAAGTTGTTAAGGTGCAAACAGACACAAAGATTATGAATCACAGAGTACTGAATTTTCAAGACTAAAATCATACCAAAACCGTGATAAGTTTTCGCTGACATCATAGGAGAGTAAGTGGTCCGGAAGGTCACTGATGGGGCCCTGCACCGCCAACACGTGCGGGGCCAAGGTGAAGGGGACGTCGCTCAGGAGCTCGGCCATGAACGAGCTGTTTTCCAGAGTCTGGCCTGCCTTATTTCCTGTCTCAGAGTCTGCTACAGTCACACTGGATGAGTTTTCTTTGCCAGTCTACAAATACATATACATTTAAACATTTAGACCTTATGAACTTTGAGGTGTACTAATGGTAAGAAGTGTGGCATTAACACATCAGAACGATTGAGAAATGTGGAATATATAAATATTCCCAGATTAAAATTCAGCTATTGACCTTACTTGAGAAATACATCCATCCAAATCTCTGCTAGGTTTTAAAGTGAATCCTAAACCCTACTCTTACTCAGACTGACCACCCACAGCCCCCTCAAAATTAAACTGGCATTCTTGATATTTCCCTAGCCCAGATACTGCCTACCAAGTCCACCTCTGCTTTTCCAAACTAGATGTATGCTTTGAGGCTCTGCTGAATTCCAGCTTCTCCATGAAATATCAACAGAGTCCAAGGTGATCTTGCCCAGTTCAGAACACTTATGAGGCAAGTTGCCTAGGATATTATTTGGTGTTTCCTATAAGTGTCCGAGCTAGTTATTTTACGTGTATCTGCCATATCTCCAATGAGACCCTGCTGTCCTTAAGGGCAAGGAATCTATCTGACATATCTTTGTGTTTCCCACCTTCCGTACCTTATTGCTTTACCCTAATAAAATCTTGAGATTTTAACTATAATGTGTACCATGAGTATGGACAAATTGCCTGATATTCATGGGAACTAACATGTTACGTTGCATAAGTTACTCAAATAGAAAGAATTAATACATCCGGTGCAGTAGTTAAGTGTTCAGCTGCTAATCAAAAGGTCAAAAGTTTGAATCCACCAGCAGCTCCTTGGAAACCCCATGGGGCAGTTCTACTCTGTTCTATAGGATCACTATGAGCCAGAATCAACTTGACAGCAGTGGGTTTGGTTCAATTTCTTTAAAATTGGTATCTCTTGTATACCCTAGTTTGCCAAAAGACCTGCACTAGGATGCTCATAGCCACTCTTATCACAAGCCCAACACTGGAAAAATCCATTGATAGTACAATAAGTAAAAAGTAGGGCATGTTTACAGCAATGAGAATGATCTGCCACTTCAAGCAGCTGAAACCTAACTCAAACCAGCTTCGGCAAAAAATGACTCCCCATCTCATGCAGAATAAAACTGCTAACTTCTTACAGAGTCCTGCACAGCCCTTCATGATCTGGCCCCCTACCTCTCGGACCGTATCTGCCCTCACTCACTGCTCTCCAGTTCCACTGGCCTCCCGGCTGTTACCAGCGCACACCCCGCCTGCTTCTGCCTTAGGCCCTTTGCAGTTTCCATTTCCGCTGCCCAGAAGGTTCTTCCCCTAAATATACACATGACTCCCTCCCTCATGCCTTTCCAAGTGTTGACTCAGATGTCACCTTCTCAGTGAGGCCTTCCCTGACCATGCTACTTAAAACTGCAGACTGCTCCCTCACCCCTGCCACTCCAGTTGCTTCTCTCTCCTGCTGTTTTTCCTCTTCATAGCCCTTGGTACTTTGTTATATACTATATAATTTATTTATTCTGATTATTGTCCCTCAAAAGCTTAAGCAGCTTTGTCTCTCATGTTCACTGCTGTATCTCAAATGCCTATATTGGTACCTAAAACCAGTTGCCATTGAGTTGACTCTGACTCATGGTGACCCCATGTGTGTCAGAATAGAACTGTACTCCATAGGGTTTCAGTGGCTGATTTTTTTGGAAGTAGATTGCCAGGCCTTTCTTCTTAGTCCATCTCAGTCTGGAAGCTTCACTGAAGCCTGTTCAGCATCATAGCAACATGCAAGCCTCTATTGAAGTACAAGTGGTGGCTGCATATGAGGTGCATTGGCTGGGAATGGGACACAGATCTCCCACATGGAAGAGGAGAACTCTACCAATGAACTACCACTGTCCCCAGACTGGTGCCTAAAAACCAAAACCAAACCCGTTGCTGTCAAGTTGATCCCGACTCACAGTGACCCTATAGGACAGAGAAGAACTGCCCCATAGGGCTTCCAAGGAGCGCTGGTGGAATCAAACTGCTGACCTTTTGGTTAGCAGCTGAGCTGTTAACCACTGTGCCACCAGGGCTCCGATGGTGCCTAGTGCTCAATAAATATTTGTTGAATTAATAAAAGCATACAAGACTGTTGCCTGCATGAAGCTTATATTCTAATGCTTATGAATGCTGATAAATTATTTGTTTCAAAGTCTAGAGGAGAATGATTTTCTGTGTGAGAAATACCAATATTATAAAAATTTTTATTGAAGTATAAAATTTATACACAAAAAAGTACGTTATGAGTGCACAGATCGATAAATTTCCACATTTCCACATGCAACACAAAAAAGAGAAATGACCACCTTCCCCAGTAGTCCTCCTGGTGTTCTCTCCCAGTCACAATCAACTCCCTGCCCCCCAAAAACAATCACCATCCTGACTTACAACAGCATAGACTGGTTTTACCTGTTTTTATATTTTAAATGAATGTAATACACAGTATTTGTTTCTAGTTTCTTTCAACATTCTATGTATGAGATTCATCCATGCTGCTGTACATCAGATTTAAAAAATCTTGAAAAACTGTTGCAGAGAAGACATATTTTGACTGATGTCTTAAAAGGATCACTCCGGTTGCTGTGCTGAGAGTAGGCATTGGGGGTGAGTGGGCAGGGAAGGAAACAGACCATAGCTGGGAGTGAGAAATGACTTGACGTGGATTTGGGTGGTGACAGTAGAAGTGAGAAGAAATGGCTGGATTTTGGATAGACTTTTAGGGTAAGGAGCCCTGGTGGTGCAGTGATTAAGAGCTCAGCTCCTAACCAAAAGGTCAGCAGTCTGAATCTACCAGCCGATCCCTGGAAACCCTAGAGGGTAGTTCTACCCTGTCCTACAGGGTCACTATGAATTGGAATCGACTCCATGGCAACAGGTTTTTTAGGGTAAACCAACAGGATTATCTGATGGAATGGGTGTGGGGGTGAGAGAGTAAGAGCATACTTAAGGACGAAGCCAAAGTTTTTGTACTGAGCAATGAGAAAGGTGGAGTCACCATTTACAGGGACAGGACAGAGTGCCAAAGGGGCAGGCTTGGGCAGGAAGATCATGAGCTCAGTTTTAGACATCTGAGGTAGCTAACAAACACCCTAGTGGTGCTGTTCAGTAGGCAGGGGGATACAATTTGAGTCTGGAGCTGGGTAAGATCTGGTGGTAAAAGTCGGCTTGGTGTATGTTCGAGAGAGGAAGAGGGGAGAGGAAGTGAAGGCAAATATGAGAACAGACAATTCTTCCTACGTATTATGTTGTAAAGTGAAAAAGAGATATGGCCCAGTAGGTTAGAGAGGGATGTGGGGTGGAGAGGTTTCTCTTGTTTTTTGCTTTTAAGTCAGGACAGATAATGGCAGTTTATAGGCTAATGAGAAAAATCCCCTAGTAGGGAAAAATCTATGGAGAATCTGTAAAGAAGGCACTGTTCTGTTCACAAGGCATCCTGAGTACCAACAACAGGCGCCCTCAAGAAATATTTGTTTAGTGAATGACCTCCAATTAATAAAACTACCAAACACTCCCATCAAGAGTGGTCCTACGACTTAATTGAAAGTAAAACACCAAAGTACTTTCTTAGGACTGCAACTAAAATAAAGGTAATCAGGCCCTGGTAGTGCAGTGGTTAACAAGTCATCAGCTAACCAAAAGTCAGCAGTTCGAATCCTCCATCTGCTCCCTGGAAACTCTGCGGGGCAGTTCTACTCTGTCCTATAGGGTTGCTATGAGTTGGAATCAACTCGACGGTGACAGGTTTGGTTTTTGGTATACCCTGTATGACAAAGATAATATAAAAGATCCATGTACATAGTAGACAGATATTGTCTCCTGAAACCTAACAGGAACTTTAAAATGCTAAGTATCCTAGGGTCAGCCTAGACGGCAGGTAATCAGTGAGTAATGACTCTACAATTCTAGCCTCTTTAAAAGGCTTCACCATCTGCTGGTTTGTATAGAAAAACTAAAAAGCAGGCTAAGTATGGGTGTACCATAAAACCTCAAGTTTTCATACGCACCAGGGCTTTGATTACTACTGGGCAGCACCACAGAGTGGTGGTTAAGAGCACAGATTCTTGAGCCAAACTGTTGGGGTGCAAATCCCAGGTCTCCTGCTCATTAATTAGCAAATGACCCTGGGCAAGTTATTTAATTTCTTTGTGCTCAGTTTCCTTAGCTGTATTATAAAATGAACAATAGTACCTGTTTCAGAGGATTGTTATAAAGATTAAATGAAGTAGTGTTTGTAAGTTATCAGAACAACTCTTAGTACATTTTAACTAAAATAAGTGAATAAATTTAGGAATGTCAGATCCCATTTGACTTTAGATGAAGTTCAGGATCTAGCCATCTCTTTTGTTTTTGCCATTCACTGGTGGTTCCTTTCTATTATATCTTGCCTTCTCCCTATCTCATTTGTAAATGTTCCCTAGATCTGTTGGTCTCATCTCATACAAGAACCTTCTTCCTTGTGCATGGAATGGAATGTTCTTCCAGTGCCAAATCATCTCTTTTCCTAAATGAAAACATTCCTGAAATCTCACCTTCTTTACTAAAGAGGAGGTACGTTACCCATAACACTTGGCTTCCCAAACACACAACTTCTAAGGTTTAACTCTCCTGTAGCAATATTTATTCCATTGCTCATGCCTCTATTAATCCTCTTTCTGTTCTTTTACAAATCACTCTTATCTCTCAGAGCAAACACTCCTTAAGGACAAGACCGTGTCAAACTACATTTAGTACAATAAAGGAACTGAGACATGTGGTTTCTTGTTCAAGTTCTCCTGATAAAACTGCCATATGACCTAAAGGGGGATGCTCTGTCCATCTTGGCCTCAGTTCTCTATTAGTAAAATGAGTAGTGAGGGACAAAAATGATGATAACGATGACAATGACAGCAACTAGTATATTTTGAACACTTACTTTGTGCCAGACACTATCTAAGCTGTTTAAATGTAGTCACTCATTTAAGCCTTACAACAGGCCTGTGGGGTGTGTACTATTAGTATTAGTCCTGTTACAGACAAGAGGA